AGAAGCAGAGGGCTGCACGGCTGTTTGGTAAGTGGCATGTCGCGATTAACGCGTCACAAGATGGTTGCGCATCCGAACATTTCTGACTGATACTTACTACAGGCGATTCATCAACAACATACAAACGACTCTGGGTGGACATGGAGGAATTAGTATTGAGGGTAAGTTGAGCAACCTAAAGTTCTAATCATGATATCCTTTTGGCCCTCATGGTACTTACTATTTACTATAGAAGATATCATATCTGATGATAACATCCCCGAGCTAAACATCCCAACGTCTCTCCCCAATCCTTCATTGGGTAACCTGCCCGAATTGGAAATGCAATTAAGACAATTGAACAGCACAACATCCGGACGCGAAGCCCTTACGAAATTGGTGATCAACGAAAACTACATCCGAAGATTGATACCACTGGTCGAAGTAGCAGAAGATATGGAGGATTTACCAAGTTTACATCGACTTTGCAACATGATGAAGATTATAATTTTGCTCAATGATAATGCAATAATCGAGCATATCGTTACGGATGAGGTGGTTATTGGTGTTGTCGGAGCTTTAGAGTACGATTCGGATTTCCCAAGTCACAAGGCCAATCATCGACTTTGGTTAGGCAAAAAGGATAGATATAAAGAAGTTGTCGAGATACCCGATGAGAACATCATGAGGAAGATTCATAATACGAATCGATTACAATATCTCAAGGATGTTGTCCTGGCCCGAATCTTGGATGACCCAACGTTCTCAGTTCTCAACGGTCTTATCTTTTTCAATCAAGTGGAGATTGTCCAATATCTACAGAACAATACAGCAGTTCTCAAGGAACTTTTTGGCATTTTTGGAAACCAAGAGACAGACCAGGAAAGGAAGAAGATGGCTGTACTTTTCATACAACAATGCTGCGCTATCGCGAAGAATTTGCAACCACCAGGACGACAAACGCTATACAATAACTTTTTGAGTCATGGTCTTTTATCTGTCATTAATTTCGCTCTCAAACACAATGACGTTGGGGTTCGAGTGGGAGCTACAGACGTATTGGTTTCTATGATTGATCATGATCCTCAAATGATTCGTCAAACCATATTTCGACAAATGGCCGAGAAGCAAACCTTGCTGACTGATTCTCTTATCGATCTTCTTCTGGTAGAAGCGGATTTGGGTGTAAAGGCTCAAATAGCAGATGCGATCAAGGTTCTTCTCGACCAAGGTAGTCATGTAGGACCATTGGAAGGACTCTCCAAAGCCAATGGTGCTGAATATGCCGCTCGAATTCGAAATCAAACAGATCCTCAACATGAACTTTTCCTTAATCAATTCTATGAGGAGTCGGCGAAAAAATTATTTAAACCTTTAGTGGATTTGAAAGGACGCGAAGATATGAACTTTACTGTTCATCAAGTATCTTTATTCATTTACTTGATAGAGATTCTTTGCTTTTTCATTAGACAACACATGCACCGCAGCAAATATTTTGTGCTATCAGAAGGATTAGCTCAACGTATCTCTCAGCTTTTGGGGAGCCCAGAGAAGTACCTAAAATTGAGTAAGTCACTGCATTTTAACAGCCTTGAACTTTCTTTACTAACGAACTCTAGCTGCATTGAAGTTTTTCCGAAATTTGGTTGGTTTACAAGATGAATTTTACAATCAACAGATGATGCAAGATCATCTCTTTGAGCCAGTCTTAGACCTTGTCATTGAAACAATGCCTCGAGATAATCTTTTGAATTCAGCTTGTTTAGAGTTCTTTGAATTTATCAAGAATCAAGGTTCTAGTACAAGGGTTTTGGTCAATCATTTGGTGGAAAACTATCGAGAAAAATTTGAGTCAATCACCTATGTTGACACTTTCACAAATTTCATCACAAGGTATGATAATAATCAAGGATTTGCATCGAGTATGGACACTTCATTCCTCGACACCGAAGATGAAAGTCCGAAGAGACCTGAGACAGGTAGAGGTAGTAGATGGGGCTCAGGTATCAAGGACTTGGATGCGGATGAAGAAGCCTATTTCAATACTTCTGATGATGAAGAGGAAAAATCTCAGGATCAGAGTTTGACGAATGGGGAATCACCTGCTTCGCAGCCTTTAGTTGACTATCCATCGGATGAAGAAAATGAAAATTCGGAAAACGATATTTCTGTGGGTATAACCTCCGCTCCATTAAGTCGGAGCCCTTCACCAAAGCCATTAGCTTCCAAAGATTCCAGTGGAGATGAGTTAGTATTAACTCCTACTTCTTCTACGCCAACTCCACCAGAAAGGCTATCGGAAAAACGCAGGAGAGAAGAAGATGAAGAAGATGAACTCGGCAAACTTTCCCATCACAAACGAAGAAGTTCTACGAGTTCTACGACATCAACCAATAGCGTGTTGAGGAGGAAACCAAGCTTCAACAAAACACGAGATGGTAATAATGGACCTAAAAAGATTGCAATCAGTTTAACTCCAGCTATCAAGACTGGTGGCGATAGCCCTGGTGGCAGTTCAAGTTGACATACTGTAACGTTGATTTAAAAATCTTTTTTAATGGAAGATTAAGATTCTTCGAAGGACATTGGCGCTATTTAATTGCACGACATGGAGTTTGGGCGAAAGGAAGGGAAGGAAATGGAATTGTTGCTGATTGATTGATATAAGCATTCACTCAGTTCAAACCAGTGACAGTGATTGCTTTATTGGCTTGCTTTTAATTTTGGCGCCAATTGTTCAATTTTGCTTGCATCAAGATTCTTGGCTTTGGCTTGATTTTTTCGCTTTGGTTGAAAGGATGGGGAGGGAAACTTTGCGGAATTCACTTGATTGTCAATTACTTGTACAGTAGAATTGGGACAGCGATATTCCTGGGAATGAAGGGATGGATAGGTGGGATGGGATGGGATGGGAGGAAAATCAAATGATTAGCGAAGGAAAGGGGAGAGGGCAGAGGAGAGAAGGGGAGAGAAGTGAAGAGGAGAGGAAATGAAAAGATGAGAACAGATGAGTTGATATCAGATGAATTGATATTATCTTTGTCAAGTAGATGTTGACATTGATGACAGCATGAAATGAAGATTTTCAGCACTTTGATTGATTGATTTTGAATGGTATGAATGATTTGAATGCTGGAATCGAACTATTATGGAAATTTATTGTTGAGATGTGATGTAATGTGATGAATGAATGAATGAATAAATAACATTAACATCATGTCTTGAAGAATATATATTATCTAGATATTCTAGGAAATCTACCCTCTCCCCTTTTCCATCTCATTCTCATTCCCATTCTCATTATCTAATATCTAATATCTCGTATCTTAATCTTAACATCTTCTTTATACATCTTGATACATAATTACCTATTATCAATCTTTACTTTTAGAATACATTCGGATCGATTAATTTCGACTTATTTAAACTTATTTGAGATTATTTATTAAATAATTTAGGTCTGTCTAATGATTGAAATAATAGGGTTATCGAATACTTGAGATTGTGAAATAAATTATTAGGAATTATTTGATTGATAAATAAAATCTAAAGAAATATATTTATTAAATATTTAGAGTTATCAAATAATTCGTAATAATTTATTTAAGAAATATTTTTAAGAGAGTAAATATTTTTAGGATTCTTATATATTAATTATCATATACCTTTTTAAAGTTTTGTAAAAGATTATTTTAATATATCTTTATCTTTATTTTTATTTATTTCTATTATTTTTAATTATTAATAAAATGTATTTTAATATATTGAATAGTATTTAAATATATTAATCTAAATATTCTTGTTTTTTTTAATATTATTAGAAATCTTATAAAACAAAATAAATCGAAAAATCGATTTGAATGTATTCTAAATACTCGTAAGATTATTTATAATTCTATTTTATTCTATATGAAGTAGATATAGAAAATAAGAAATAAATAGGACTAGAGGCTGGCTGGCGATTATATCGAATCTGAGATATCTGATTATCTGGATAGCTAGATAGATAGGTCAGCTATAATCTATTGTGTTAGCTATTTACTTTAATCGGATCTTGTATGATATTTAAATTCGATTCAAATTCAATTCAATTCGTAGCCGAAGGTAGAGGCGAGCTCGCGAGGTAGGTATGGTATGAGGGGATGTACTCGTAAGTGTCCCCAGATTAGATGAGACGCTTGGACCAGAGTGGATGGGCGGTGGACGGTGGGCTGTAACATGACATGGTATGTACTAGGTACTCCGTTCGGTACATGGTAAGGGTACATACGAGGTGAGGCCGTGAGTTTGGTTTGGTTTTGGGTTTTGGAGAACGTGTTCTTATGTGCATATGATGATTGAGAGTGAAGATTGAGATTGAGATTGAGATTGAGATTGAGATTGAAGATTGAAGATTGAAGATATATTCTAACCGGCTCCAATTGATTCAATTGATTTATTTATTTATTTATGGATTTATTTATGGATTTATTTTGTTAGTTTAGGGTTTACTCGTTCGATTTTTCTCATTTACTAAGGTACTTACTTACCTGGATTTACTTACCTGGGTTGGGTATCGGTATCTTGGTTGATTTTAATTATTTTGGTCTGGTCGGCACGTACATACATACATACATACATAGGTACTTGCATACTTACATACTTACATACACACGTTCCTTTCTGAACGAGTGAGTGGGCGTTCTGTGGATTGGAGATCTGTGGATTGGAAAAATTGGAGGAATCAGAGAAATTGGGAGAATTGGAGGGGAATTTGGATGTTGGAAGGACAATTTGGAGCTGAGGGGAATTGTTGCTTGTGATTGCGATTGTGATTGCGATTGCGATTGCAGGTTTCGAGAATCTGGGTTGCGCGCAACGAACAGAACGAGCGGCTTTTGCGATTCGATTGATTGATTGATTGCTTGCTTGCTTGATAAATTGTATCTGCGGAATTCCTAGCGCATTTCGAGGATTCGAAAAAGGGAAGAAGGAAAAGAAAGGGAGACGGAGGAATCTTGCTACTCTACTTAAACTTCGATATGGAGGGGTTACTCGAACTTCCGTTGCAGATATTGGGGGGATTATGGGAGATGGTGAGGGATACGCCGGCGCATATATTGGGGTTGATTTTGATCGGGTTGGTGGTTGTAGGATTAGGTTGTGTGAGTTTAAGTTTTCTTTCCCTTTGGGGGGGGGGTTTGTTGGGGGTTATGATTATCAGAGAGAGATTTATTCTCTGGGATGGGAATTGAATCTTATACTTTAGAAGTTTGGAAATCGTGCTAATACTATATAATCCAGATATACGCTCTCCTCCTACTCGTCGCGCCTGTCCCCAGACCTCCCTACCCATCCGAAAAAACATACATAACCACCACTCCCTCTGGCACCACCGAAACCAAACCCCTAACCTGTTGGTATGATTCTTGGGTCGCGCATCGCGAAGCCTCGGTTTCGAAGAGTGGTTCATCCGCGCAAAATAATATCCGCACCGGGGCGATCGAACCCGCAACTCTAGAAATGAGTCTGGTGGTGCCGGCATATAATGAAGAGGAACGGTTAATCGGCATGTTGGAAGAAGCCCTTTCGTTTCTCGATACGACATATGGACGTGTGGCGAAAGGAAAAGGGACGGGAACGGGGTATGAGATTTTATTGGTGAATGATGGGAGTCGAGATCGCACGGTGGAGATCGCGTTGGAGTTTTCGCGGAAGAATGATTTGCATGATGTTTTGAGAATCGTGACGTTGGAGGAGAATCGCGGGAAGGGAGGTGCGGTTACGCATGGCATGAGACATGTGAGGGGGGAATATGCGGTGTTTGCTGATGCGGATGGAGCGAGTCGGTTTGCGGATTTGGGGAAGCTTGTAAAGGGGGTTAAGGAGGTGGTGGATGAGGAGGGGAGAGGTGTGGCGGTGGGAAGTAGAGCTTGGTTGGTGGGAAGTGAAGCGGTTGTTAAGGTATTTTTCTCTCTTTTTGATTTCCTCTATTTTTTCTCATCACATTCCATTGGGTGGAGATTGGTAGCGTGACGGAGGGAAACAGTTTACGTTTTCTTTTCTTCACTTCACCATACTATATTTCCTACTTCTACTTCCACCAACCCCCTCTTTACCCCCCAATCCATCCATCCATAAACCTCTCCCAAAAAAAAACAAAAACTAACATCCCTCCCCCATAGCGCTCCGCCCTCCGCAACACCCTAATGCATTCCTTCCACCTCCTCCTCCGTCTCCTCACACCCCCCGCCACCTCCCGCATCCGCGACACCCAATGCGGATTCAAACTCTTCACTCGCGCGGCCCTCCCCCACATCATCCCGTATATGCATGCCGAAGGCTGGATTTTCGACGTCGAAATGCTCATGTTGGCTGAGAGTGCGCCGGGGGTGGAGGATGGAGAGGGGGAGGGGGAGGGGGAGGGAAAAAGAAAGGGAAAAGGAAATGGAAATGGAAATGGAAATGGAAAAGAAAAAGGAATCAAAGTTTCCGAACAGCCGATTGCCTGGCAGGAAGTCGGAGGTAGTAAATTGAATGTGATGTGGGATAGCTTGGGGATGGCGTGGGGATTGGCGGTTTTGAGAGGGGGATGGGAATGGGGGTTTGGAGGAGGAGGTGAGGTGAGGTGAGGTGAGGTGAGATTTTGGGAAAGGGGTGGGATTTTTGTGAGAGGGGATGTGGGATTAGGTTATGTAGGTTGTTTGTTGATAGTTGGTTGATAGCTTGCTTGGTAGTTTGCTTGGTAGATAAATAGATAGATAGATAAATAAGTAAATAAATAAATAGATGGGTTGATAAATAGTGGGTAGTAGGTTACTGGTAGCTGGTTGATAGTAGCTGGTTGATAGTAGCTGGTTGATAGTAGCTGGTTGATAGTAGCTGGTTGATAATAGCTAGTTAATAGATGATTGCACGGATGTATGTATGTATGTACTATGTATGTATAGATAAATGTATTTATATATGCATATATATAAGAAAGAAAGGATAAATAGATAGGCGAGTGGGAATCATATGTGTATGTATGTGTGTATATATATATATACGTATCTGTATATATAAAGAGAGATTTTCACAGTACATCATACCATATTCGAACAGAAGAGATATTAGAATAGAAGTACCTACTTATATACCTAACATGTTCTCGAAGTATGATACTCCTCCCAAATATGCTTTTCAGTAGCTTCATGAAAAATACGATCGATGAAAAGTATTAATTAGGTATAAGTACGTATGTAATCTATAAAAAAGAAGAAGAATTTCGTACATCCCCTCTCTCCTCTTCCCACAACGCCTGCATTACATGTATGCACATCTCTGAACAGTGATTGAATTTCCGGTATCTCCGCGGAAATCTCAAAGACCATAACCTTATTACCAGAATATAACTTTGTGAATCTCTCATCTATCATCTCTCGTAGTCATCTATTTTTCTGTTCATCCTTCCGGATGGACGTGTATCCATAACCTTGATGGATAATTCCTATTTCCCAGAGATCAAATGAGCCCATTGAAGTGGTCTATGACTTCATATGTACATCCTTCACTTCCGGATCCGTCCAGGGAATAGATAAGGCAAAGTAAATATTTACTGAGCCTTCTTTGCAATCTTTGCTTCCTTCTCCATCTTTCTCTCTCTTCTTCTCTTGGCAGCTTCAGGTCCACTCTCGGTATCCAAAACATAATCCCACCATCTGAAACTGCTTGCGTAATTTCCGATAAACTTCTCATGATGAGTATCATGATGTTCAGCACCAGCCCAGAAAGGCAAGAAATGATGTAGCGACCAAGGGAATTCATAACCACTGTGAGCATCAATTGCTTGGAATAGTCTGCACACGATCCAAATATACATGGTCAAAATGTGAAGGTTTCCGGTGAGCATAACCCAGAGAATTGGAGATCCAACAGTCCCGAGACCGAGAACCATAACTTCTATTGGTGATGCGTATTCGGCAGCGAGACCAAAGGGTGCAGAGTATTGATGATGAATTTTGTGAACTTTCTTGTAAAGCCATCCGTAATGCATGGCGCGATGCATCCAATAATGCCAGGTGTCTTCTAAAACGAAAAAGATAGCAACTTGATAGGCGATGGTGAAGATGGATGGGAAAGGGACATCGGTACCCATTCCAAAGTATTTTGCCATTGGGTGGAAGAGGTAAATTTGAGGAAGTTCGACAGTGAAATGGGAAAGGAGAACGAGTTTTGTACATGTCCATTGTTCGGCAGCAGTAGGGATTTTATTCTGGAGAGTAATAGTAAGTGAATGTTGAGTTGGAGATATTGATACTGAGGATTCTGTAAATGTGACGAGGAATTGGAATTGTCTTACCCCTTGAATCTTGTATTTGTTGAAATAAGGAATTTGATCGATGATGATCCAAGGAAGACTTCGACCAAAGTAAAAGACTTCATGCATCACAAAACTCATGATACCAGTGGCAAGGACATCATTTTGCATGTAGGCATACCAACTCTGTTGTATAATTAGTAAGAGTATTTTGGAGAAGATTGAAGATATGTCAATGCAAGGGAAAGGCAGAGATCAACTTACCGCCCAGAGTCTTTCAAATATGTTGAGATGAACATTGTATTTACTCAACTCATCATAAATACCTAAAAAGGTAGCTGGAGTTGCAGCAATGGTTGCATTTGATAAGATATCCATAGCTGCGAATTTAGCTATGGAAAGAGGAAGAAGGAAATCAAAAGATTGAAGAGAATTGTGTTGTAACCAGAAGGAAGAAGAAGGAGGAGGAGGAAGAGGAAGAGGAGGGAGGTTTTTGAGAAGTAGGAAAGTAGTAAAGTACTAATAAAGTACTAAAGTAGAGTAGAGGTGTGTCAGGGTAGGGAATGAGATTAGATGGATGGATGGATGGATGGATGAATTGATGAATTGATAAATTGATAAATTGTTTCTTTTAATATGGATTCTTTGGGATTTGCCTGTCGAACCACAATTGGTTATCGGAAGGGAAAATTCCCGGTAAGGTGTAGGGAGATGTGAATGTGGGTGTGGGTGGGTGTGGCTATGAATATGGGATGGGTACGGCTATTACTTGATTAGGTAAAGGGGAGAGACGGTTGAGTTTTTTGGGTAGAGAGAGAGGGAGAGAGGGAGAGAGGTAAGAAATGATTCAACCTTTTTGGGAAGAAATATCACGTGAATTGGTGGTATCCCAGTTACGATAGTGCGGAGTGTGATCCTTTGTGTGATCGGGATTTGAGATACCGATGGAAGGAATGGGATGGGCTCGGTGGGATCATTTTGGATGAGAAAAGGTCATGGATCAAGTGATGATGAAGTGATGATGAAATGATAATGAAGTGATAATGAGGTGATAATCAAGTGATAATCAAGTGATAATCAAGTGATAATCAAGTGATAATCAAGTGATAATCAAGTGATAATGAAATGATAAATGAGCTGGTGTTTGAAACAGATACTTGATTGGTTATTCGGGATATGAAATAGGTAAATCACATACTGATTACCTAAGTTCAAGATAATACTTCTGGTGTTCTTCAAGTTATCATCACATTTCACACTTCACACTTCTCACTTCTTCGTGTTCGTACCTGAAAATCCATCCACATCCAATCACATACCTAGGATCTTTCCCAACTTTTACCCCTTTTTTCATTTCCCTGCATTGGATACCCGTAGTACTAGTGCTTCGTAGATTTCTTCTGGAATATGTTTATGTAATCACTCTTTTGGTCTCTCAGTCTTCACTCAGTCAGCGTCTTTTCTTCAGTCTTCACTCTTCACCTCGTGACTCGAGCTACATCATCGACTTCATCCACACTCATCCACCCACTCTTCTACTCTTCTACTCTTCTACTCTTCTACTCTTCTACTCTTCTACTCTTCTACTCTTCTACTCTTCCAATCCAAAAACCACCCTCGCTCCCTCCATACTAGATACCCCCACGTGACACTCTCAACCTCCCTCCCTCCTGTAGAAACTTTTCCCCGATGCCAAGCCAAAATAGCTTAGTCATCATTATCAATTGGAAATCTCATCCAATCATCTTTCACCCCGGGACACAGAAATCCCCTACCGCCACATTGTATTTTGACCAGGGGGTGCAATCAAGACCATAATTTTTGATCTTTCATATGATACCTAATGATAATAATCTACCCAGCTACCGCCCTGGGGCTAGAAAAGTCTAGAAATGAAAGAATAGAGAAGGCTAGGGTAGGAATTTTAATCGTAAGATTTATAGGAAATATACTCATCATCCATCTGTCAGTTCATCTTGACCCTGATATTTTGCTTATCCAGAAAGAGTGAGAGAGGAGAAATCAGCTTATTGCTTGCTTGCTTTATATCATTCATTGTTTATTATATTATATTATATTATATTATTTATTTTATCGATACACGAGTATACCACTTGGATTTTTTAACCCTTTTTTATATACCTATACCTACGATTAATGACGGGATATGTTATATGTTGATTCCTAACATTCATTGATTCCTCACTCACTCATTCACTCATATAATAGATTGATTGATTGATTGATTGATTCATAGACAAGAGTCGGAACAATTGCTGTCATACCTACCTTCCTCTTATTATAGCAGATATTATATCTGCAAACTTTACTCACCACCTACATACTTACATACCTATCTACATATCTACAACATCCTCAACCCTCACATACCAACCCTCACATACCAACCCTCATTTCCAAAATGTCAAAACCTTACACCATACAATCCGCAAACGAAGAAAGACGTCGCGTTTACCACGAAGCAGATGTAGTCGTAGTCGGCGCTGGTATATTCGGTTGCGCAATAGCTTATGCACTTGCCCAACAAGGTCGCAGTGTTATTCTGCTCGAACGTTGGCTTAAAGAACCCGATCGTATAGTCGGCGAACTGCTCCAACCAGGTGGTGTTTCCGCACTCGAAAAACTTGGACTCGCACATTGTTTAGAAGGCATTGATTCGATAAGGGTGAAAGGATATGAAGTTATATATCATGGTACACCCGTTTCCATACCTTACCCACCAAATGCCGGCGCAGCACAAGAAGGAGGATTTAGAGGATCGGAGAATGAAAAGAGCACCAGACCAGAGGGAAGAAGTTTTCATCATGGAAGATTTATTTCGCAGTTAAGGAAAGCTTGCGCCAGTCAACCCAATATCACAATTGTCGAAACAGAAGTGACAGAAACCATAACTGGCGGACACAATTCAGCCCAAGTCCTCGGAGTCCATACACGAACTACCAATCCAGCTACGGGCGAAAAAGAAGCAGATTGTTATTTTGGTCATCTCACAATCATCGCAGATGGATATGCCTCCAAATTTCGCAAGCAATATATCAACAAAACCCCAGTGGTCAAAAGTAAATTCTACGCTCTAGAATTAATCGATTGTCCCATGCCAGCTCCCAATCATGGAATCGTAGTCCTCTCAGACGTCTCCCCAGTTCTTCTCTATCAAATCGGCACTCACGAAACTCGCGCTCTAATAGATATTCCCGACAACATCCCCGCTGCATCTGCCGCGGCAGGTGGCGTACGGAATTATATCCATACCGTCGTCCTCCCAGTCCTCCCACCACAAGTTCGACCCTGTTTCCTCAAAGCCCTCGAAGA